TGCTGAACTGATTCATTTTTCTGTTGAGAAAATACTGGATAGTATTAGGATGCACAGGGCATGCTGGCTACTTCCAAAGCTCTTTTCAGATGCCCACTGAATTTAAAGCAGTAGATCCAAGAGTGGATTGATAACGATAGCAAGTACTAGATATGACTGCTTGAATATTTGTCTAAATTTCTGAAGTTGAATTTACAGAAAGCAAACCTTTTACCAGTTTTTCTTCTATCCTGCCTGGGCAAAATTTTCCTAAGTTCCCAAGTTCAGGTTTTTTTGTGCTTGTATTTTACTTAACAGCAGCCTTTTGAAATATACAAAATTAGGATCAAAGTGAGTAATAGCAAGAATGGTACTTTTAGATCAACCTCAGATGCTGAGAATGTTTAAAGTGAGCAATTTTGAGGAGTTGCTAGTGGTATCTGAGACTGCAGTGACATCCTTCTCTAACTTTTAACAGCTGCTGCACTTTAAACTTTACCATATTGGCTGTTACATGTTCTTCTACATTCCATACAGGAGCTAGAAAGACATTAAAAAAGTATTCTTAAATGATTTTAAACCTACAGACTGAAAGTAGGTGCTGCTTTCTTACTGTGGAGATTTTCTATTTCTGTGCCCACAGTATTTTTCCTGGAATACAAATACAAGATATAGGTAGTGATTTAAATATAATTATATCTCTCTCTGTTTTTTTGTTTTTGTTTTTGTTTTTTTCTTCCCATTCATGGAAATGTGAAGTTCTTCTGCCTTCCCCTTCTTGGTTTTGTAAGCTGTCAATACAAACAGGAAGGTAATACTCAAAGAAGGGAACTTGATGCTAGACACTAGACATTACCTGAGGCATACGTAATTAAAGTTGTCTTTTGACAGCTGTCATCTTTTAATTTTCATTTTACTCTTCACGCAGTATTTTTGATTGCTTTTATGTCTCAACTACCATAGATTTTAACATAAAATTTAAAATGTATTTTACTGCATTTATTGCACTCGGAAAAATTCTGTATTTTTTTCGTCTTGTGAATATTCCATAAGACGCCATGTTCTGTTAAACACAAAAATCTCTTTTATACTTCACATCAGTTGTATTCTTTACAGCCTGTGCTGTCAGCAGAATATTGCAGTGAAGTTGCCCATCTTTTCTAGCGGGATAGTGGGATCATCGTTGTAGTAAGATACTGAAATGTTGCACTGTCATACGGTCAACTATTATTCATAGACAGATTGTTTGGACTGCAGATTAAATCTGCCATGAATGCAGAGACATGCAATTTAGATGGGCATAAGTTAGCTTAGGCCTGAAGTCCTGGGCTTGGAGAGCTGTGCTTCTCTGTGAATTTACCAGCTCAGGGTGATGATAGACTGAGGATCTCTGCAGGAAAGTCAAATCACGGATGTTTGTTTGTTTGTTTGTTTAGGAGCTTTGTTGTTGTTGCATTTGAGATACATATTGCAGTATATTAGTTTACATAATGTTTAGTGAGTTGGTTTTGCTTTACCTGACTCATCCCACTCTATCTGGATACTTCTGTGTTGACTGTACATGCCAGTTAACAGTGTAACAGAAGTTGCTTAAAGATCACTACATTGTCATGAGTAAGGTCAAAGAATTCATAAAAATCTGCACCTACATTTATTCCCGAGGCTTGTCTTTTATTTCTTCTTGGCTTTGTCAACAGTCAAAGGAACAGTGGGTATTGAGTGTGTGTTGGGGGGGAGGAGATCTGGAGCATGCAATCAGTTGTCTTTAATACTTGACAATGTCTTTTTATGACATTTTCTAGTGTATGCCATGTCTGATTTTGCATTCTGCAAGTGATGGTCTTTCAGTTTCTTTCATGAGATTTTGTTGTCAGGAATCTATTTCAAATATACACCCAGAGATCACCTTCCTTAGTTACCCTCTATTACCTCCCGATACAGTGCACACTTAAAATCCACTAACTTAACTTACACCTCCATCTGCACATGCAGATCTGTTAGTGTAGGAAGGCTGTTCTGTCTAGTTCTAGTTACTTTGTAATGAGACTCTCCAAGGTTACCTGTCCTAGGTTTCCTGAGAAAGTTGGTCAGTCTTTCCCAACTCCAGTTCTTTCTCTAACCCAGAAAGCCAAAAGCTTTCTGGACCCTGTGAGATTCAAAAGTAATCTTACTTTAGCAAATGGAAAAGAATATTTGTGTGCTGGTTCTGTGACTTCTTGTTTTACGGTAAATGGCCCAAAACTTACTGTTGTCCTATATTTATCTACCCAATTCCTAGGCATCAGGAACAGAAGGTAGGAGGGTGAGTAATGCTGTGCTTTGACTGATGGTTCTCACTGAACAGCCACTGGATCTCTTTAAAATCAAACATGTTGTTCTGCTCTGTCTCCTTCTTGACTCTCTTCTACTGGTATCAGCTTTGAGTGCATGGAGACCTATGAGTGTAAAGAGTTAAAAAAGTAAAAATCATTTATTTAGGACATAATGATCTGGCTAATAATAACAACGTGAGCTAACATACATTTATGGGCAGCCAGCTCCTGTCTGCTGCAGGGGAGATGAATTAGCTGAAGCAATGAGGTGCAGAGTACTTAAAAATTGACACACTCCTCAAGTGGCTATGGCTTGTGTGCTCCCCAGCACCGCCCCCGCACCCCTCTCCTTTTCCTCCCATAGACTCCTTCTCTAAAATTAATCCTCACAGCAACAAAGAGAACTTCTGGTCAGTGAAGACCATCTGGGTCTCTGGCTTTGTTGCTTCTGTGCTGTAGTGTAGCAATAGGCTGTTGGATCTGGGCTTTTTCCTTTTCTTCCTTTTTTTAGTGCCTTTGGCCAAGTCTTCATTATGACATAGCTCAATTAGGCTAGCACTGACAGATACTCGTTTAGCTTAATATCTGATAACACCATTACTTTTGAGCACAGACTGTGAGCGATTCCTTACCTGGGTTCAGTACTTGGTAATAACAGTAACTATCCACTTTTTCCTTACTCACTGGAGATGTGACATGTATGTTACTAATGGATGGGTACCCACTAGACGCACTCCCATGAACACTGTGAGGCTATGAAGCGAGCAGGTGTCCTCTGCTTATAGAAATCATCTCTTGGAACGAGGGAACTTGCTGAGTTTGTATCTAGTGATCAGCCTTTGGTCAGATTCAGCATCATGCTCTTTTAAGTTCCTCCGTGTTTTAAGACAGATATGCATCTCTTGGCCTCCTAAAATTTATGGAAAAGATCATTTTTGCCAGCATTTCATAGGCTATGTGTGAAGAAATAAATTAGGCCTAATCAGGAAAATTATATAGTACTACAGAAAGTCTAATCTCTGTAATCCTTTTATGTCTTTAGTGGTTTAATTTGCTGAGTGTGAGCAATGCCCTTTATTCCCTGGGAATAAGGACACCAAGACAATATTTTGTATCTAAATAATAAATGTACTCATTTATTCTGTGACAGTCTATAGAAATGCAGTTAGAAGGCTTAATCTTGCCTAAGGCTGAGCACACGCTGCTTTTCAGTAAAGTCTTCAGAGCCAGAAGTGTGAAAGAACACTTGAATGTAAATTATAGAGGTATTCCCAATTGTCCTGGCTACTGTATGAATAAAACTACTGTGCTATACAAGATTAACTATTAATTTAGAGAACAGAATGAAGGCGAGAGTTCTTTCTTCATTGTGAATTTGCTTTGTTTTATTCAAATTTTTGTTCTTTTGCTTATTTGAATTTAAAACAAATGCCTCTTAATATACATTAAAATTCAATATTTAGAAAGAGCTTTAAATTATTTTTTTTACCTTTTAAAATTTATTTTAACTGATAACAAAAAGCAGAGAAATCCTTTTTTCCCCAGAGCTTCACTTTGAAGTAATCAGAGGATTAAAAAGAAACTTTTACCCAAATGTTACTGAGCACAAAACTACTTGAATATTCAATGTTGTTCTTATTGCAGTTGCAAATTTTCCAAGCTAAATGAAGGTATTTTACATACGCATGGCTTTACAGTGAATGCAAAGTTGTACAGCACTAGGACTAAAAATGAGTTTTTACCAAGCTGAGGAAATTAAAAAAATGTTTTCCACATACCACACTGTTGTATACACATGACTTTTTTCATCTACGTAATTTTTTTATTGTTATGCAAACAAAAAAGCAATAAAGTGATTGCTGTAAGTCACGGTACTGCTATCAATGGTGTAATTGCTAATGCTTCCAGTTTTCTGAGTTCTGTGTGCAAAATTATCAAAATGCTTTTTATCATGCATGTAACTTCTTGAGGTTGATTATTTTTAAGAGAGAAAAGAAAATCTAGAAAAAACAGTGTGTCTGTTTCAAAACCTACCTCTCCCTTTTAAAGTTCATAGCATCAAGAAAAGTTCCCCGTCACTATTAGATATTTTATGTTTTGACTATGTGTGTATACTTCTGTTATAACTAATTGTTTCCGTTTCTGTAGCCACATTTAATGTTTCAGAAGTAATCAAAGAAAATCTAATCCTTGAGGCTACAGAAAATGTTTTAATTTTAAAAACTCTCAATATAAATAATGCTATTTCATATTCTAAGTTTCTTTATGAAACAAACCAGAAAGACCCTGAAAATCAAACCAGTGGTGTTAACAGTTACTGTGACCCAAACAACCTTTGCTGTGCCCCTTATTTTCAAAACTGGACCTGCATGGTTGTTAACGATCCTAACACTGATTAGCATTCGGCTTAACTGAAGGGAAAGATAGGCCTGGGGTTAAGGCATTAACCCACAGAATTCACAGTTCAATTCTCGTTTGAGTTTTTATGGTTCATGTTCCCAAAACTCTTTTTGCCCTGACACCTAATGGGTAGAAAAAAATTATGTAGCAAAACAAAGCTTGTGTAAATGATTACAAGAACTAAAACACATCGAATATAATGAGGGCCTTGACAACACCTCTGCTTTTGGCAGCACTGTAGACCTTGCCCTCTTCTGGCTCTGCTGCTCTGAGATGCCGAGGGTTTCCTTACTGTGCAATGGTACTTCAGAGGTGCAGGGAGTGGGGGGAGTTACCCAGTGGCACCTTTCTCTTACACTTCTTATCCACACAAAGTAAAACTCTTGTCTCCTGGGTCCAGTGTAGTTCATGTTTGTTGGTATATAACATGCCTTAATAATGTAGAACTCTATGTGTATATATATTTGTATTTGTGTATATTAATATCTATTTTTAACTTTCATGCTTAAACATATACAGAAAGGATAGCTTTGTATTTTAAATAGGTTCTGATGAAGAAAATTACTTCACTAGTTGATCAATAAAATACTAAATAAAAATTACAGACAGCTTTTCCTGTGAGGAGCAGTTAGTCATTTCCTGGTGCAAAGAATAACAGAATTACTGACTTACCCATGTTCTTGGCTCATTTTTGCTCAGTGCCAGGTGGTTACTAGAATTTGACAGATGATTGATTTGGTTTCAAAGGATGCTTGAATTGCACAAAGTGTTTTTCATATTAGAAAAGACATGGTCATTTTTTTCCACAGGTTTTAAGATTTATCACCTTGCACATGTGTTGTAAATTAGTTTGTTTGCTATTTATTTTCTCTGGATTGCTGTAATTGCTGTCATTAGTTGAAGGGCAAGTTTTACAGATGGTTGGAGGGATGGCCTTTTAAGCATACACCCTTCATATTTATTTATTTTTTAAACACTGCTGCAGGACTGCAAGTCAGATGGGTAGACTGCTACTTCCCGTTTACTCACCCTTCCTTTGAGATGGAGATCAACTTTCAAGGAGAATGGATGGAGGTCCTGGGCTGCGGGGTCATGGAGCAGCAGCTAGTGAATTCAGGTACTGAAACATCTTTACTTCATTGACATCTCTGTTAGGAAACACTTCCAGTGCAATCAGCTTCACAGTCTGAGATGCCCCCTTCCCTCCTGGTGAGTGCAGGCATCTCTGCTTCATGGCAGCCACCCCAAATAGACCTCAGGTGGAATGCAGCCCTTGCATGCTGTGATTTGAGGACAGCCATTGAGCGAGTGATCTGGAGTCTGCAAGTGGAAAGCTTGCCTCTTATCTTGCGCGGTAATGAGAGAGACGAATGTCAGCTTTAAAAAAGCTGACAAATGAAGATGTGTGGGGTTTTTTTCTCTTCCAAGAGGTGTTCACGTGCATTCATAGTCATGATTTAAAAGTATTATAGGCAAATAACATCCCCTACATTTGGAATATTAGAGCACTCCTGTATCTCTAAAGTATAGAAAGGGGAATTTGATATCATTTGTATTGCTGTTTAGTTGCTGTGTAAATGGTAGGTGGCTTTTTGGTTTTGTTTTGTTTCTCTTCTTAGATTGGTTATTTATGAAATGGTAGACTTCATTAAGTGAAACATAATTTATTTTAATTGACATTGTTACAGAGCAAAGTCATGACAGTTTTGCTTTTCAAAACTTACGTGCAGGTTTGAAAGAAGGAGAGGAGAAATTGGTGGTTTTTTTCTGATTATTTTTATAGAGAGAATTTTGCATGCTTGTTTTTTCACTAGCTGAGACTAGGCAATTCTTTGTAAGCAAAGAGCGAACTGCATGTGCTCAGACTTCTGTCATTCAGTCTCTTCTGGTACTATTTATTAGGTATGGGAGGCTTTTGGAATATGATACATTTAATTCTCACCAGTGTACTTTCAGATAGACAAGTTATACTCGGTGGGGCTTTTTTGCAGTTGTGTTTTTATGTGCTTGAAATTCTTTCTGTTGAAGTCCAAGTATGATAGTTCATTTTTTACCCCTTATCACTGCTTATTTTCCTCAAAATTTGCATGTATTTTAATGTTTCCTTTTAAAAGGATAAATCTTCCACAGTTTCTTCCCAATGCTTAATGGTTTATGCTAATATTCTTTCTCAGGTTATTGTGTTCATGGTTTGGTAAATATAATACAGCTTCTGATCAGCCTCAAAAGTGACAGACTACTATGTAGTATTATTTCCAGCAGATCTAACACACAAATGGCCAGGCTTTCTTCTTGAAAAGCTTTTATGCTGCTCAGTTCTTATGTTTAGGTTCCTTTAATATGTGAGAAGAGCTAAGCTGTGGCCTCTAAACAACTACTGTATGTGTCTGTGTATGTGCATGAATGTACATTAAATACCAATGGTTTCTACAGCAGTCAGATTTTTCAGTTTACTCTGCCTCAGCTCTTTTTCACCTTTCTGAATTGCAGTCTTCAAAATTATATCCCTTCTGCACCAAAACTCTCCTAAGTATTCATTGTAATTCTAATCTTGCAAGAATGTAACTGAAGTCTAGCTTTTGAATGACTTTTAGACTTGTATTATCAGAATAAACAGACAAAGAGATTCTTTCTCTTTATTAGTGTTTGATATTTTTAGAGGGTGCAGACTCAGTTGTGGAAGTGCCAATCATTTTTCACTTCATTTTGAGAGAACTGCACTTTATGTAGGCACGGTTTTGTTTTTCTGCTCCCTCCAATAGCTCTGCAAAAACATTTGGCTACAAAAGCTGAGTCTAATATATCTCAGTGTGCTTTTATTGAAGGATTGGAATCTGTTTACCACAAGTGAGGAAGAAGCGTGGCTAACAATTTTGTTGGCTAACAATTAGCTTATTTGGTTTAAAGTAACAATGAGGACAAGATAGTTCACATTTTCAGTCAGGTAAGCAGTCAAACACCAGTCTTCCCTGCCTACTGCTGCTCTGAGTATGCTCTTCCTTAATCCACTTTTGCTACAATTTAAAACCCCAGTGGGTTCCTGGCATGCCAACTTGAATCTATTTGTGTGAAGCCAAGTTTGCTATTACCAACCCATAAATTCTTTTTCTTTTTTTTTTTTTTGAGTGCGTTATGGCAGCAGGCTGCTTTTGCCCAAAATCCACAGGTCCAGAAAGGAGATTCTCTGTGGAGAAGAATGAAGGTGAAAATTGTTCAATTTGAATTTGAACAGCAATCGGTTTTTTATAGTTTCTTTTTCTTACCTTTAGAATATCCTTAATGCCTCCAGTATCTGTGATCAATGGATATTACTTATTACTCTGGTCCCCTGCCCCTAAATGTCTTTGAAACATCAAAGTTTCAGTTTTAAGGTTTTCCATTTCTAACCAGTGCAGATCAGCAAGGAATAGGATCTTCACCAAACTGAGGAAGGAGGCCTGTGGCTTCCCAGTAGCTCTGTGCCTTTTGTTCCAAATACTGCCAGTTCATCTTTGTGGAAGGCAGTGTGTTTTCCGGTCAATGGAGATTTTCTGGCAAAAGAAATTGAGGTGAAATACTCAGAAAAACACTAGTTTTTAAATTTTTAGGAAGAGGTTTATTTGTGGGTTGTTTTGTGTTGTTTTTTTTCACCCCCACTATTTCTTCACTGATAACGAAATTCCTTAACTACAGGTAAGTATCCCGTTGCCCAACACATAAACATCTAACCTCAGAGAACTGACTCACACCAGAGACCTGTGCCCCCTGATGAGGGAATAGATGCTGGTGCCTAAATGCAGATGCTCTCTCTTTGTTGTCTGATGTCTAGAATAGGCACTACAAACTTCCCATTCCTATCTCAGTCTCCTCAAGGGCTCTACCAGAAAACAGCTCAGTAGGACTGAATGAAAAAGAGAAATGTTACTCATTTTTTGGCTGGCTAAGCTGGTGCTGAAGAAATATTTCACTGTTGGTGTGCCAGTTCACCAGGCAAATGCAGAAAGATCTTTTCATGGTGTACTGCACAGCTTGCTGATTAAAAACTGGAGAAGAAACTGATGAGTTTGCAGGAATTGTATTTTTTTCTTTAATATAGTCTATAATGCTACTGTCTTGCAGTTTGAGATTTGTTGTGTGGGTATTGTTTGCTTGATATTGACTATTAAAATACGTATTTCTGAAATGCAGTGTTTGCTGGCAATGTTTTCCTAAGGGAAAGGAAGAGAGCTTTTACTTTCAAAATCCTCAAGTCCTTTTCTTTTGTGTGTTATTGATTGAATACAAAAGACTGGTTTGTGAGACACTTGGAAACAGCCGCTCAAAGCAGAAGTTGGATGTGCCTGGTTATCTATGGTGGCTATAATTGAAACAGTCGAGATAATTTTTCTTTTCTTTTCCTTTTTATTTTTTTTGCCTTTTTTCCTTTTTTTTTTCCTTTTCCTGAAAAAAACCCAAACCTATATGAATATCTATGAAACACAACAAAAAGGCAGAAGAACTGAAGAAGCCTCATGGATGGATGAAAAAACAAGGTCCATGTTGCAAGTGATTTCTATTAAACTAGCAGGTTTTATAATGGTGACTCCCTGCCCAAAATAACTTCACTGTGGTTCCTTGAGGGTTAACCTCCTCGTGCAGCAAATTTTGATGTTATTGACAGATCATATTAAGACTTTTTTAGTGTTGAGTGAAGAATTCTTTTGAAGCTTTAATGCCCTATGCAATCAGCATTAAATTTGCTAAGTTATTATTTTCTGAAAGGCAATATCCTATTGAATTTTCCTAATGCCTTCTTATGTTTTGGAAGGAGCCTTTCTTTGGTTTCAACCACTTTGAAATAGAATGTGATATTGATACTTAGTACATGTACATAGAAATTGGTTATAGGGAAAAATTGTCAAATATGTTCAAAGGTATTGATAGTACTTTTCATCAACTCCTTGATTTCCCAGGGAAGGACAGCCAGTCTTGTTCTTAGTCACT